TTCAGCTTCAGATATTCAAAAGTAATTAAAAAATAATTACTTTAAAAATGAATAGAGACATAATCACATATTTTAAATGTTTCTCTTCAATAAAATACAAGATTATAACTGAATCATTCATGATTCAAAATAGTGTGTCTTGATGCAACATCGATTTTGATCGATCTTATATTAGTATCTACAAGCAATGTAAACCAAAAAAAAAATTTAATCTTCTTGAACATGTGATAGAAGTAAAATTAAAAAATTATTTTATTTGCAAATGTAAAAAGAATCATGAATTTTATGAACATCTTTGGCAATATGATCCTTGTGATCATAAAAATAATTATTGTCCTTTTAGAATGTGAAGTAATTATTTTAAGCTTCTTCAGAGTGTTGACAAAAATTTAGATTATTCAGAAAAGTTGGTTTGTATTAATTCTAAAGAATCATTAATGCAAATAAAAAAATTATTATCTAGGTATAAACTAGATTATAAGATTTAGTTTTGGATCAAAAGTTTTGATCATACAGGTATGCAAATTTACAAAAATGAAATAGAATTATTAAATGAATTTAAAAAATATGTTAATAGGAAAAAGATTAAAAATAAACAAGGTAAAAATAATTTCAAAAGCAAAAAACAATCAAAAGAGAAAAATACTAAGAAAGATAAACAAGAAGAAAATAATTTCAAAAGTGAAAAATCAGAGAAAGAAATTGCTGTTGAGATTATAACTTTAATCAATTCTTGATTACAAATATTTGAAGAATATAAACTTCATTTTCCCAAGTATACTCCCAAATCTCCTATATATATTTCTCAATCACCATTTACTCAGTCTAGAATAGAGTAGATTTTTTCTTATATAACTTTGATTTAATTATTGTAATATCCAAAATGTATCAATCAATCAATTCTATTTTTATTAAACTTTTCAAATTATTTTTAAAATATTTTATTGATTTTATTAAATCAAATCAATGTTTAATTGAAAACACAAGACAATATTCATCAGTTTCATATAATCATTCTACAACAGTTATCAAAAACACAACACAATGCCTGTCAGTTCTATCATTTAATCATTCTACAATGGAAGTTCCATTTTTTTATGATATTTTTATTAAAAAGTTAAATTAACTTGATTCTGTGAAAACGTTTACTAATTACAAATATCCTCTTAATGGAGAAGCATGTTGGAATTGTGAAAGAATAGGTTTTTCTTATACTTGTTGTATAGCTTGTAAACAAAAATTTGAACAGTATGATTGTAAATTTATTTGTGGACTTACATATTCAATACAATATAATAAACATAGACATCCATGTCAATTTGCAAAATGTAGGTACTTTACAAATGATTTGAATAATGTTATTCATCAATGTAAAGACAAAGTAGTTAAAAATGAAGTTTTTTTGTTTATAAATAAAAAAGATATACAACTATTCAATTTTAATAAACCTATTAATTGAATGTATTGTTTAAAATATGATTCATATGATCATATTTCTTTTCATTGTTCACAAACTTATCATTATTATTTGGATTGATATCTTGTAAAAATTTATTTTATTATTTAATAAATACTTCTAACTAGTATATTAGTACCAGTTAGAATTTTAATTATATAATTCTTATTTATCTAACTAATGCTAAAGAAATTAAATTGTGTAAATG